TGGGCTACAAAGTGAGCTCAAGGCCAGCCTGAACTGCACAGCAAGACCTTGACTCAAAAAAGACAAAAAAGAAAAAAAAAAAAAAACCTACCCAAGCAGGACTCAAATTTGTAATCCTCCTTCCTCAGGTTCCCAGTAACCCCAGCTGGGATTACACTGGTATGTATCGTCATGCCTGTTTTACCTAGGGTTTTTTCCCTTCTTTTGGTGAGGATTGAACCCAGAGCCTTGTGCATGCTGGGTAAGTGCTCTCCTCCTGAGCTACATCCCCAGCCCTTGTGTGTGTGTGTCTTTTTCAGTCAGGGTCTTGCTACACAGTTCAGGCTGACCTTGGTCTCGCTACACAGTTCAGGCTGACCTTGAACTCACTCATAGCCCAGGCTGGCCTTAAACTCTCAGTGATCCTCCTGCCTCAGCCTCCTAAGTATGGGGATTATAGACATGCACCACCACGCCAAGCCTCAGCCTTTTTATACTGATAAATACATCTACTCTATGACCCAGCAATTATATATCTACATTTACGTTATTTACTTCTAGATGTGCAAAATGACACAGACACTGTTGAAGAAGACTCAGTTGTAGCAGTGCTCAGAAGAGAAAAAGAACAGAAATAAACCAAACACCCACCAGCAGGAAACTGGATAAGTAAATCCTCCATTTGAAGATATGGGTATGTCTGTTACAGAGAATGAGGCAGCTCTCCGTGTTCCCATCTGGAATGACTTCCAAATTAAGGGGGCAAAATGAGGCATCTGCCTGGCAATCAAGAGGTCCTGAATTCCATTCCCAGTACCAAAAAAAAAAGAAAAGAAAAAAGCAAAGTGAGGTGCAGGATGGTGTGGATAGCATGCTCCAGTGTGTGAGGGAAGAAAAATCAATATGCATGTATATTAGCAAATGCAGGAAATAGCTCCGGGATACAGAACAAACTACTCACAGTGGTTGCCTCTGAGAAAGAGAATGAGGTTAACCAAGGGACAGGCAGGGCAAGGGAAGCAACCTCACACTGGATCTTTCGTGCCAGGGGCTCAAATCATCCATCCCAACCCGCATGGATTCTCAGAAGCGAGGGAGGAGCAGGAAGAGAAGCCACGCAATACACTGGGGGCATTCGTGTGCAATGCTTTTTTCGTGATGTCTTTAATCCCAGTTTCCTGAGCAGCTCTTAAAAATTCCAGTTTTGGACCACAGATAATCCCACTGGAGACTCAGAACCTTTAACAAAATTAGGAAGATAATTTTTTTGAGACAAAGTCTCACTCTGTAGCACAGGCTGGCCTCAAACTCACAGCGATCCTCCTGCTTCAGCCTCCTGAGTGCTGGGATCACAGGTATGCGCCACCCCACCTGCCTTAGGAAGATAATTTTGAAGACAAGGGGAATATTCTCTGGATGTAGATGACTCTAACCCATGCAGAAAGAAAGACAGCTTGAGTCATACTTTTTGTTTCCTTTTTTCTGGTACTGGGAGTGAGCCCAAGGCTTTTGCACTGGGCTATATCCCCAACATTTTTTTTTTTTTTTTTTTTTGGAAAGGGTCACAGTTTGGACTCAAATTTTCGATCCTCTTACCTCAGCCTCCCAGAGTGCTAGGCTCCCGTATCTTTCTTTTTACAGCCTTTTTCTTTTTTTTCCTTTTGTTTTCTTTTTCTGGTACTAGGAATCAAACTCACAACCTTGCACTTGCCAGGCAGACACTGTGCCACTGAGCTAAATCCCCAGCCCCAAAAACACAACCAGTTTTTTTTTTTTTTTTTTTTCCGGTACCAGGAGTCGAACTCACAACCTCGCGCTTGCCAGGCAGGCGCTGTGCTGCTGAGCTAAATCCCCAGCCCTGCTTACAGCCTTTTTCACTGATCATCTAATCAACAGAGGTGGTCAACGGGAACCAAAACAAGCTAAGATAGCCTCTGAAGGCCTGCCTCACTATAGTGCAATAGGATCAAACCAGAAGAGCAGACAGAGTTCTTTCCAGGAAGCCCAAACATGTCTGTACACAGGCACCTCAGTAACCCGACAGGCAACGCACCACCACCACAAATGCAGACTGTGCACAAGTGGACGGAGCGCCCCACAGCCACCACACTCTGCCTCTGCCCTGGCCACAGCGTCCTGCGTTTGGGAGGGAAGAGGTGAGCAGCGTGTCATTCCGCATCATGGCACCGTTTGTTTACTTTAGAAGTTTTATTTGCACCAGTGAATCTGAGATACAATAGCCTGTCAGAAAATCTAAACCTTATCCTGGGAGGTAGGTGGTGGTGTGGTGGTTCCCTTAACAAGGAGTTTCGGAGAAGGTGTGTAGGGCTCCTTAAGTACTTAATCCTGTTGTTTTTCAGAAACCTTTCGCACCTGGGCTCCGAAGAAGCCAGAGGACAGCGTGGAGCACCCAGGGCCTGCAGGAGGGAAGTGAAGGGACCAGGGGGCTGCTGGGACAGGAGTCAGCTCAAACACTCCATGCTGGCTCTGACTCGCTCCATCTCGTGCAGGAAACTGTAGAACTGAGGCAAGGTTAATTCTGGGGAGAGAAAATTCAGCTTTAGTTAGGTGTTTCCAACACCACAGAATCACCCAAGGGAATTCTTTTCCACCCCAAAGATTTTTTTTCCTTTAGATGGAACCCAGAGCCTCACATGTGCTAGGCAAGTGCTCTACCACGGAGCTGTACCCCAGCCTGGGATTTTCCCTCTTGGATGAGTGCATCGAAGCTGCCCTGAGGGGTAACTGTACAGAATAAAAAACTGACAGCCTTGAGCACAGAACGCTCTTGGCTCCACCAAAGAGGAGGCGGTGTGCATTAAAACCACACAACTCATAAAGGGATTGAAAACGATCACGATACATTACACGCATATACCACCTCCCTGCAAAGAAATCACTATTCTGTATTACAAATATGCACTGAAAAACTAAAATATTAAATAAGATGGCCTAACTGCACAGCACGGGGATAAAAGGACATCACGCAGGGCTCTCCATATGATTCTCAATATGACTCCATATGAGCAAGAGCTGGCGCCTCAATCAGCTTCAATTCTAGCCATTCCCTCCCCACTCCCTTTTCCAAAAATGCTCTGCACCCGTGAGGTCACCAACCTGCTGGAGGCTTAGTAACATTTTTTAAGAAAGCAAAGGCAGAGGAATGACTCCTCCACGGTGTGGTGGAGAGCTTTTCTCGGCAGAGGTGGTTTGTAGTGCCCACACCAGCACTACCGACTGAGGAGAACACAGAAGTAGAAAAGCTGAAATGAAATCCAGACTCACCCATATACAAATTTTCAATCTGATTTCCTTTCTTAACCACCAACTTTAACTAATTATTAAAAAAAAGAGAAAAAATTTAAATTAAAATAAGGACAAATGGGCAAAAACTCTACCTCAAAAAATAACCACCTAATTTAGCTGTCCCGGCACTCCGTGCCAAGCATGTGCTCTATCACTGAGCTACATCCCTGCTGCCCAGCATCTAAGCTGAGAATCCGAAGAAGTAGTCTGGACTGCTGGCCACTAAAATTTCTAATCGTTGCTCATAAGAACATCCAAGATTTTTTTCTTCTTCTTTTTTTTTTAATAGTACTGAGGATAGAATCCATGGGCACTCTTATTACTGAGCTACACTGACGCCTTTTTTATTTTGGGACAACGTCTTGCTAAACTGCCACGCTGACCTCAAATTTGTTATCCTCCTGCATCATCCTCCTGAGTAGCTGGGATTACAGGTGTACACCTGGCTAGATATAAATTTCTATTTTGTTTTGGTACTGGGAATTGAACCTAGGGCCTTTGCAGTGAGCTGTATCCACAGACTTCTTTGTTATTTTATTTTATTTTTTTTAAATTTTGAGACAGGGTCTTGCTAAATTGCCCAGACTAAGCTTGAATCTGTGATCCTCTTGCCGTAGCCACTTAGAGTGCTAGGATCACAGTGTGTGCACTACTACACTCACCTGACATTTAACATGTTTTCATCAAGTCAGAAATCTTCCCATTTTCAAAGATGAGGAAAAGACTTACCTGTAAAAAAATACTTCCCACTTTCTCCAATTCACTGCTCCCAGATGTTACTGCAACACGAAGGAGAAAAAGAATCAGTGACTGGGGCCTTCCCTGAGGACACCAACCGCTCAGGCTGTCCAGTAGCAAGACGTGCTCTCAGGCAAGCCAACCCCGGCACGACAAAGGGCAGGGATGGAAGCAACTGCTGAACATGGACAGCATACATAAGGCAGCTGCAGCCCCCACCCCTGTGAGACCAGGACACACCTCCCACTGAGGCTTTCTGCTGAGGACCCCCAAAAGCTTCTGCAACTCAACCCACATGAGCCAAGGGAGCCAGGACTAGTTACCTCCAAACTTCCATTCCATGTCAACAAGCTGGTTAACCATCAAGGTCTGACCCACTGCCCACTGAGCAAGGGCAGGGGCATTCTGTTTCCACTAGAGCAAGAGCAAAGAGCCAACGTCATAACCATGTTGGAAAGTCCAACTGCCCAGCCAAGGGCTTGGCCTGTACGCTCACACCAAGTGGGGTGGGTGGGGATCAGAGCAGCACGAGACATGCAAATACTTCCTTTCATTCCAAGATTTTACCCAAGTTGGAACAAAAATTGTGTGATATTTATACTAGGTCAAATCAGAGGGAATAAAATCAAATTATATGTGTCACTAATATGAAACCAAATGAAACAATCCATTGAGGGCTTTGCCTTGGCTGGCATTTTCCATTTTTTTTCTTTTTGTGAAATAAAAGACAAGGATCTTAACCTTGATCAAGAGGAATTATACCTTTTCAGAAAAGTAAGTGGCTTTCTCCTCGCTAAGACCTGGAAGGAAACAGGAGGGGCATTAACATAATGAAAAGCCACAGAGGCCCTCTCCACAGCGACCCAGGCCTTGACCTACCCAGGGTTATGAAATCCGCCTGCACCTGCTCGGCCGTGAGACTCTTCTTCAAGGCACCTGAGAAGAGGGGGAGAAATCACGAAAAAGGGCAAATCACCGAATCATTTGGCAGTAAGCACTTCACAGGCACCACCTACGTGACATAGAGGACAGAGGGATACACTGTATGACGCCTGCAAGCTGGGGAGAAAATGCGCTCGGAAACCCAGCTTGTTCCTGTGCAGCAGTCCGCTGCCTCCCGACACGCACAAGAGACAACAGATTCAGTATGTGGCTACTGTAGAATATGGTCACTTAATTTTAATTAAAATTTAAAAGTCCACTTGTCAGTTGCACCCGCTGTCTCAGGTGCTCTGACAGCCACATAGAGCCAGTGACCGCTGTACCGGACAGTGCAGATTATAGGCCATTTCTATGCACGCTGAAGTCCCGTGGTACTGTCCCAGGAAATGAGCTTTTACACAGAACACCAAGATGGGCTGAACATAGCCGGGTGCAGTGGTGCACGTCTGTAATCCTAGCACTTGGGAGGCTGAGGCAGGAGGATCATTGAGAGTTCGAGACCAGCTAGGCTATAAAGTGAGTTCAACGCCAGCCTGAACTGCAGAGTGAGACCCTGTCTCAAAAAGACAAAAAAAAAAAAAATATGATGGGCTGAACAGTTGGCCTCCACAATTCACAAGCCACATGCAGAGGTGCTGTCCAGTCTTGCCTCAGAGTCCTGGTAAGATTTCCCCGCAGGGACAGCTTTGTTCTGCCTCTAGGTTCCAATTCCTAAAAACAAAGTGTGACCAGCAATCTGGGCTTCTCAATATTTAAACTCGAAGCCACCATCTACAGTCACAATTTAACATTTCCTGCTTCCCAATTACCAGATGATGATTAATAAAGGACTAAGAAGATGTCCACCACCATCAAGGGGGAGGTCTGAAATAAACCTATACCCTAAGCCCAATAAAAAGAAACAGACTGGCAGAATGGATCAGCCGGGCATGGTGGCGCATGTCTGCAATCCCAGCATTCGGGAGGCTGAGGCAGGAGGATCATTGTGTTCAAGGCCAGCCTGG